AAAAATTTACGCACATCGCTTTTTTTAACTTCCGCAACTTTTCCACACTATTGTGAAACCGAAATCGAAGAAGTTGTAATGAAAAAAACGCTCCACCTTACTGTTGAAATCGAGTTGTTAACGTTTCGTAAGCGTATTTTCAGCATGGCCAATATATCCCTGCATTTACAGCGCGGTCTGCAGCACACGATGTACGGGACGAGAGATATTCAGCCGTCCCTGCTCTGGCGGATGCGTTGCCATCACGACCGATCCTTCCTGTCCCTATTTGCAGCAACTTAAACATTGAATTTAGTTATGAGAAAAAATTTCAGCCGTTATATACATCATTTGATCCCCGTTTTTACTATAAAATAACACTAGAATCACACGTTTCTAATTTTAAGATCACAACAAATCAATTAAATATAATCGGTCTTATCAACGTCTTATCTAAGAACAATAGACTAGCTCTGAGGTAAAATTTACTAAACCCGATGAGTTAATTTTTAGTACCTATATATGTATAAAAAATCAGAATTGTCAAAGAAGGTATTGTATCATGCAACAACACCCTGGGTTAGCAGGTTGAGTAGTGACGCGTTATAGTTGATCTTCCCGGGATATGTGCAAGCGTACAGCGAACGCGTTCAACATTTGCGCTTGCGAGATCTGAAGATAAACTTCCCTCAAAATTGATAAAATTGACGACAAAAATCTGAAGAAAAACTAAGAAAATCCCTCCCTTAAACTCACATTCGTGTAACTTAACATAATATTACATATACAGAATATTCTATCTCGGATTAATTCGGAGATGGTTGAGTGACAAGATATGAGATATCAGCAACAAAAGATAATCATCTTCAATACCGTATGTCTGCTCACGATATGCTTTTAGTACAGCGCTGCGTCTTTAGCGAGACGGAAATATGCTTCGTATTTATGCAAGCAGCAGTTTTTTTAACCATAAGCAAGCAGGGACCCAACACGGTAATATACAAATGCATTGGAATGAACAATTAATGAGCTACTCCGTGACCTTTAGTAGAGCTCTATACTTGGAATGAGTCTTAGTAGAGCTAGCGTGACGTACTCAGCATCAATAATAGCGTATAAATTGAGATTTAAGGATTAGAATTCAAGCCTTTAAGGTTTACCATTATCATGCGTTGAAACTCATACTCAAATAGTTTGTATGTATAATAATAGGTAAACTACGACATAAAATGACTGAGACATACCCAACAAGTATTTGTTGTCCAAGACTCCACATACAAGTCAGGGTTGAACAGGGCACCTGCCCGGGTAGCAGCCAACCTATACCCACCCGGGATGGGTTTTTTAACGTAAAAAAACGTTTTTTTTTTAACACGGAGTAAAAAGTGAGTTTTAAGGGAAACCTATAAGAAGGCATCAAAATGATCCCATGTTTGAATTTGGAAACGTAATAATACTGGATCGATGCTACTTAAAATGTATCTAATATACCTTCTTCAACAAATTCAGTCTTCCCATATATGAATAGTGCATGCTTCTAAAAAAACTCACATCGATTCGAGTCCTAAAACATACACATCCATTTTAAAATCACCGAAATATTACATTACTTTGTCCCCTAACTTGCTCTACATTCATTCAAGACCTATCACAATAACATGATATTAAATAAGGGACCACAAGATAGCTCCTTAATATCAATGTCCTTTCTGCAATTTTTGTAATTTTGTTTTAGGTCACACCACTGATAGAGAAATAAACTTTACAGAAGTTTTCTGTAACAATTTTATGTTAGCTTTATCTAAACAGTAGGTTTAATATCAATTTAAACTTGGGTTTTAATTTCATTCACATAGGTACTTTAGTTTCGCAATGTGAAATATGAAAAAAAACCTACATTAGTCCTAAGAAAATATTATTTTTACAGTGATATTTACACACTCATACACTATGTATATATGCTTTTTAAGACTATTACTCCATGATTGATATTGTTTTTGTGTTAACCAACTCAAAAGTCCATTAAAGAAGTTGCTACAAAAATTAGTCATTGATAAAAGCCTACAGTCATAACTGTGTAATAAGGGGAGCAAAGTACATAGTATTTTGTCTCTTTTGTCATAAAGCCACTTGATATTTTGGCTCCATAACAGGACTCAAATCTTAAAAGACTTAACAAAAGAAAGGCTGGTAATGAAGAAAAAAGAAGACCAAACCCTCTAAGTATTTATTTTTTAAGACATAATGATAGAGAATTTTTTCAAAGAGGTTATTTTACTATTATTTAGAATACTAGGTCTTTTAAGAACATGTGTGTTTTTTTGCATAATTTAACTTCCTTGTTAAAATTTAAAAAGCAACTAACAATACAATCCTGTCAATTTTTGAGCACTTACAATAGTAGTAGCCTAAACTAGCCTAATTGTTTGGTAAAAATTTTAAAGTGATTAGTCTAATTATTCAACAATTATAGGAGAAAGAAATGGAAAATATTTTTTTACAAGCTTGCACTATTCGAGTACCTATTGAAAAACCAGAAAACAGGGGGAACTGGGTTAATTGTTTCAATGCATATTTTTTCTATTAATTTGTAGTCTCTGACAGAGATGTTTCTGTTTCACTGTTGTATTAATAGTGACACATCAAATTAATGATGCATCATCAATCAACTCATTGTTAAAAAATTGACAATTATTGGATCTAAAGTTAAGCCAAATGTAATAATACAAGTTGATACTGTATACCTTCAAATTTTCAATAATCACCATAAATTATAAAGACTTTAAAGATAAGTACAAATGATAGAAGTAAAAAAAGTAGGTAATAAAACCCATATTACCCATTTTGCCCGTTTTTTTTTTAAAAAACCCCGAGTTTTTAATGAAAAACGTGTGGGTTGGGCAATTTAAAAAAACTATTTTTTTGCAACCCTGATAGAACTACAAGGTCCATCATTATGATCTAAGCAGTGCTTGTTTGCGGTTGCTGACCAATTTCTCCCCATTTCATAATCTCATTCCAAAAAGAATTGTGTCTTAATTAGCTAGTGAGCATAGCCCGTACGTACAAATTGACACTATAAATAAAGAAGATAAAACGAAGGCAGTGACAATATTAAGAATTTTTTCATCTCGGCTAATTTTGTTACACAGCCTCACCGAACCCAGTTTCAATACGATTCATCTATCGAAAAGTTCATGTGTACTGCGTGTGTATTTAAAACGTCCCTTGGTTATCAATCTACCTCACAAGGTATCGTTGATGGCATCATATTTTGTCTACCTTTCTACCGATGTGCAAACTGGGTAACATGAATGCCATCATCGTCAATTCTTTCTATTCAGTTACAGTACCATATATTATAAAAACCCTCCACAACAGCTGCGGACCGCAAATAGTGCCGGGTGAACCTGCCCGACGCTGAGATACGAGTTTTTACACTCGCATCACAGGATCAGATCGTTCACCCAGGCATTGACCATCCTATGGACATAGCACAAACTATTTACTTCAACTACACAACATTTACTTGGATGGCATGCCTGTAGCTTTCCTATATTAGCTTTCAGTCCCAAGAATTCGAGGTTATCCCTTGAATAAGAATGAACAATTGTTGTTATTCAGATTACAAGACGTATTTCCCACTGCACGCTTCTTTGACATCGTACGCTAGTGTAAATGCAGAGGCCGCACCTAATTTCTACAGACGGCTACATAAATCGAGTCTTTTAACCCTTACAACTCTACCTTTTCCGATCCCTCGCCCATCTCTGCTTGACCAGTTTTTCTCCTCCTACATAGAGACTCCTGAAAGAGACTGACAATCCTTGATTATTTTCAGCAGTTGGACTGCGTAAACGAAAAAAAAATCTTACGACCTCTCCACAAAACAAATTCCTATCTCAGAGCCACAGCTGCGCAGCAGTCTTCCATCGACTCTCGTTAAAGACGATCTCTTCTATAGCTGTTGCGCGCCTTCTTTCGAATCATCCTGCACTACTGGATTAACTACTGCGTTGTCGAATAGAAATTACTTTGAAGTAGCAATTCATTTAAATTCTCCTTAGAGTATACGGTTTATACACAATAAAACCAAATTTACACAACGAAACACGCAAAATTCGGACAAATATTAACAGTTTACAAAAGAAATATCATCCGCACTATATGAAGTTAAGTATCGGCAGCCATCAAATAAGTGAGGCAGGCAAAGTTTCGTTCCTCTTGAGATGAGGCGGCACCCGGCCGCTGGCAACGTGTTGGGATTACGTAACTCAGCTCTCCAAAACTCGGCCTACTTCTCCGTACGATTATCACAGTAATTACTAATTAGCAATGTTCTTGGCATGCTGATGGTCCAAAGATACTGGTTATTACTGGTTGTGTGGGTGGGAATTATATGCATTGTTGTAAGACGAACTATTCCCTGATGTGCAGAGAATTGTTAATCGAGAATGCAGACCAGAGAAATTTATAGTTTTCTCCATAAATCAATATTAATAGCATCTCTGAAAATGATCTATAAATTTTCGTGTTTGGGTGCACATTTGATGCAATAAAATACTTCTAGTGTTCGTGATTATTATAATATAATACAAATTATTGCCAGGATATTGAAAGAGCAAAAACAAAAAAGTAATAATGAAAAAATTTTCAAATAAAATTATTAATAAAGATAGGTTAACTGCGTCTGCAAGCACTATGTTAAGTCATCCCTAAAACCGTCAGCAAAAATTCGTCTTTAAACTCGTCCTATATATGAAATACTACGCGTTCAATTACTTTTTAAAATTCTATTTAATTTTAACAATTATCAAGTGTAGGTACCGTAGTGCCTTCAAGCAAATAAAAGTTAATTCAATACCCATAAGAGAAAATCATCCAATAAATAACTAAAGGGTATCGACGTAGAATGTAAGATATGACCGTGTGACGTCATATGCTACATATTCAAAGTCAAAGGCAATAATCGCAGGCGAACACAAATCAAGCGGTCACATCAAAAGTAACCATGAACTCACCCGGGCAGCCCGGAGACTTCCTCCATAACATGATCACCCCTCGTGACGCCAGGGCCAAGAGCTGTGCATCGCTCTGCCTTGTCACTCAGGGTTGGCCCAGAAGGCCCGTATGATGTACTCGGCTGTGGAGGTTCGTGGCAGGAGGGTAGAGGATGTTTTCTAGGTCGTCCTCGCTTGCCCGGCTTCTTTAGCAACATCGGGGCTTGCTTTTCATCCATAGGAACATCTTCATAACGTTTAACGGAGCTATGCATGACTGTTAATATCAGTTATTCATATCAAAAGAATGACAAGCCAGAGATGAGGTTCTCGTAAAACTATGTTCAGTGTTCGCACAACGCAGGCTGAGACCGCTGAGTTAGCCTGTCTTCAAACTTCAATCGTGGTACGCATCAGAGCTTGGCATTCGAGTTAATAGGCTATCTATGACTGCCGTATCACATTCGCATCATTCACTTTCCCACTCATCGATGTTGGTCGACTCACTGCTACTTAAATAATTCACGCACAGTTGCATACTACTCCTGCTGAGTATATTTTTTCAACTGGGACTGACATCGTTTCAGACAAATTAATTATTAAGATGTTTAGGGAGAAAACAGCCTTTCCTATGTCGTATCTCGCCAGAACTCATCCATCCTCAAGGTTATTGCAGGATTCAAAATCAAATTTAATGTAAAGCTTATTGTTCAGTCACGTTAGGTAGCTCAGTTATCGGATTTAGATTTCACTGACAAAAAAATTAAGTTCGACAACGTTCTCAACTTTTCAATCACTATCAGTCAACAAATTTACTACTGTAGCACAATCTGAGGATAAAATATTGAAGCTACAAAACGGCGCTTCTAGAAATCTTCACAACTTCATTTAATAAAAAATTATATTGACTTTTTTAATTAGGTATTATCACAGCAACAGTTAACTTGCCACAGCAGCAATGCGACGAGCAGCATTGCTCCAACTACTTCAGCTTAACTTAAGCCAAAAAACTGAACTTATTTGGCCGAGATAATACGGTTATATATGCTTGAAGGAACAATTTCAAACAGAATTAATAACCAAATATTCACCACATGGCTAATGCAAACTGAAACGAGTCGTTAGTAGACAACAGCAAGAATCTTCGATACTTGAAAATAAATTTGGGAGCGCTTTACGCTGGCGTACCTCTCACATCACTTGCCCGAGTGACACTGAGTTTGAAGGTCGTAGACTCGTAGTCTGCACTACTGCCTCTGCTGCCCGTAGCTGGCAACACAGCGTCAAGCCGACCTGCACAAGATAGAAACTCTTTACTGTAGCACCAAGATATTTCAGTCAAGTCTCTCATGCTTCTGTTTGAGAAACTACGTTATATAACAAATAAAATACTTTATAGAAATATGATATGTATTCATATCGCTACGTTAACTTCTCAGTGATTTGGGAAATTATTTCTTTCTAGAGGCAATAATACTTTCAACTGCATTCATAAAGGTTTGTTATCATGCACTGCAGTTTTCAACATCCCCTTACATCAATGTATAGTACTAAAATTACAAAAAAATGCAAAAAATTAGTTTCAGATACTAATGCTATCTTCCGAACGTAGTAATATGCTGAGAACTTGCTAGAAAAGCTATTTTTTTATTATTTCGTCCGGCGCTATCTGGCATCGAATGCACAGGTATGGAGTGCCGACACCAGACATCACTGTAAATGTGATTTAAATATATCTGCATGGTGCTAGAGCTGCGATACATTATTTCTTAGGTTATTAGGAAGTTGTCATTAGATCCTAGGGCTCTTAATGCGGCTAGAACAAATTATTCGAACTATAGAATTGAATTACAGAAGCATCCAAACTTCGGTAAGAAGTCATATGTGGCACTATCACGTCATCCATCCTATCTATTTGTACGGTACCATTTTCCGTTTTTTTTTTCTCTAGATTAGTGCTACTCAATATGGAGAGCCTTGGCTAGTACGCGTCTACGCGACATAGCTTGCTCTTGCTGGTTTACCACAGAATGAATGCGCAGAAAAGTTTCTGTTTTTAAATATTTATTAGATTATAGTGGTTATTTGTTACAAATGCAAATTATCTAATCACATATTTCATGTATAGCGCAGTTATTCGTCAAAACTGGGAGCAAAAATATAGAGACAGACATGAGTTCACTTATATAGATACGATGCGCACATGTTAACGTAACAACAGATACGATACGCACCTGTTAACGTGAAAAAAGATACGATGCGCACCCGTTAACGTAACTACAGATACGATGCGCTCCAGTTAACGTAACTACAGATACGATGCGCACCTGTTAACGTAACAAAAGATAAGATGCGCACATGTTAATGTAACAACGTCAAAAATACGTCGACTACATTTTTGTCGTTGTTCGAAATGAGGATCACATGACTGTCGAGCTACGCGTGGCCTTGGAACTCAATTCAGTTTTGACGTTCACCTGCGAAGTTGGGCTTAATCAGTCGTTGCCCTTCCTCGATATACTCGTGCAAGTAGAAGATACAATGTTCGTCATCAAAGTTTACCGAAAACCTACATTGAACGTCCTCGATATATTCGTGCAAGTAGAAGATACAACGTTCGTCACTAAAGTTCACCGAAAACCTACAGACGTCGGAAGAGTTCTGAACGAAGCAAGTGAATGTCTCCAGCGATACAAAACCAGCACTATTCGCCCCTTAATACACAGGGCATTTAAAGCCTGTATATCCGACACTGACTTGAAATCTGAACTCCAGACCTGCAAGCAAATTCTGTTAAACAACGGTTATGCGAATGAAACTATTGACAGCGAAATCGCAAACTATCGAGCACGTCATAACCAAACGGAAAATGAACCAACATCCAATGAAAGTATTGTAAAAATTTATTCCCAAAATCAGATGACCAAAGGCAAAAAGACCGACGAAAGAGTCCTCAAATCAATTGTGTTAAATAACATCAGAAGCACAAATGCAGCCGACCGAATCAAATTCTTTATTTACTATAAAAACATGAAAGTCAAGAATTTAATAATGAAAAGTAATCCATGCACAAAGTCGGGACCATTACAAGAAACTAGTGTTATTTACAAACATTCCTGCCACAAAGAAGGTTGTAGACTTCTCCAGAACGTAAATTACATTGGTTTGACCAGCACGACTTTGAGTAGCCGCCTAACATGCCACCTCCAGACCGGAGGACCGAAGAACCACATGAGAGAGGCTCATAATGAGCCCCTCACTCGCGCGACGTTGGAGACCCACACCAGAATCATCATGAGATGCCCAGACGCCACAAGACTGGCGATAGCTGAGGCTCTCATCATCAAGCAGGAGTCTCCAGCTATTAATTTACAAACTACCGGATTTGTCCTGACGTTGAAACTGTTCTCGTAATTTAAGCTTTGATTTCAATCTAATACTAATGTCATTTCAAAATTTCAATTTCAAGCGTTGCAAAACTCTTCCTCTTCTACTTGATAATGAATGAAGTTGCATTCGAAACGTCGTAAAATTAAAATTATAATAAAATGTACCTTGGAAACCTGATATTTGACTTTTAAGTTCCTATCAGGAGCCTAATTCGCCGAATTATGAAAAAACAATAAGAAAATTGTCATTGTTTGTGTTAATTTTGTTAATGTGTTGTTAATGTGTTAAATTTGAACCTTCAAATTTAACACATTTTATACACATATATTTTGCGTTCAATTGAATATATATATTTATATTAAATTGTACAATTGAATATATATGAATCATGTGCAATTTGTGACCAGAGAATGTATAACAATTTTCAAGGAGTCGAACAGTTATGTTGGTCGAGCAAAAGGCAAGTTTAGTGAGTAACAATAATACAGTATTTAACGACTTTTCGATAGTAACAACATTTTTTTCACACAGCGAACCGTATGTATGCGCCTGTTTTAGTTTTTCATGAGGCAGTCTCTAATCTGTACGAAATGAACATTTTATATCAAATATATGAAGATTCTTGAAGAAACATTGTACAAAAAAGCTCATTTTGTAGATACAGAAAAGGCGCATCTAAAAAGGCAAACCGTATGTATATGTGCGTGCTTTATTTATATTTTATTTATATTTAATACAAAAATTTTATTTTTGTATTATTATTAGCGGCACATGATGGTTCCCTCAATACAAGTAATAGGTAATGGTGAAGCTGGGGTTACAGTATCAAGCAATTTAGTCATCACTTTTTTCAATCAATTTTACTAATTTGACTGTCCTGAACAATTTAAATTTCCAGTTTACGCCATAAAAACTATCTCTTCGTTTGATTTTCGAGCTACAACCATGAGAGACATTTCATTCGATTCGTAAAGCAAATATTTAGCGACTCTAGAATCCATTGTTTCTCCTTTATCTATTCTTTGGATTATATATTGTGTAAATTTGGGGGGAGAAGAAAATTGAAGAAAAGCCCCCAAAATTAGATAGAATGGCTTCTCGAGTCGCTAGATAATGAATCGAATGATATGTCTCTCGTTGTTGTAGCTCGTGAATGAAAATAGGAAATATATTTATAGACATCCCCTTTTCCCGTTTTCTATTCATGTCACATTTTTTTCGATTTCTCAAAAAATTAAAGGAACAAAATGTCCCTGTATTAGTGTTTTACAAATCTTTAAAAAGTTCCAGTGAAATCGGTCAGTACAAATTTTTTTTACCCAGCCGCTCCCCTTAAGCTAGTTCTTAGGTTTTCATTCGTGTATATTAGATTTTATTTATATATTAGATAATTATATTAGTATATTAGATTTTCATTATTTTATTAGATTTTAATAGTTAGATTTTGATGTTGCTGATTGTTAGTACACATTAATTTTATATCAATTATTTATTAGATAATTATTTAGGTTCAATTGTTCGTTTACGGAGTGTCAGTAATAGAGCGGAAAGTACTCTCAGAAATTGTCAGATACAAGTCTCAACCCCGTTAATGGTTCCAGTGTTGTTCAAACTTCTCAATACATGGTCCGTCATGTTTATGACAACGGATGTTTGTATATAAAAATAAATTTGTTTCTAGGATACTTTTCTTTTATAATGAAGCTTAATAGCATCTATTAATTCATCTATTTATATTGCAGAAGTCTAAGGTGTCTAAATTTACTATTACTTATGGCAGTAGATAGAAATGTAATTGTAACCCTTCATGAAAAGGGCGAGAGTAATTCAGTCATTGCAAAAAAAATCAATAAATTCGTCGTGAAACTGTGTAGAAGGTGGTAAAAAATTCAAGGAAACTGGTGAAAAATGCAACCGACCTGGTCAAGGAAGGAAACGAAGTGTCCGAACAACACAATTGGTCAAAAACACGAGGGAGAAGTTGAGGAGAAAACCTCGTCGCTCAGCTGCTAAATTGGCTGCAAAAGCAGGAGTCAACCAGACATCAATGCGTCTGACGAGAAAAAATTTGACATTGAACAAAGCGTTGACCGTCAAAATGACAGAGTTCGGAGTCAGGATGTATCTGTGGCAACCAGAACAGCAACACGACGTCAAAATTCCATGTCCGGGATGGTTTGGGCCGCGGTAACCACCACTGGGAGGTCCCCAATCGTTTTTGTCCCCTCAGGAGTGAAATTGAACAGTCAGCGATACATTTCGGACATTTTGGAAGCTGTGTTGTTACCTTGGGCCCGTAAGCACTTCAGCGGCTCACCACGGAGTTTTCAACAAGACTCTGACCCATCACATGGCTCAAACATGACCCAAAACTGGATTCAGGATCACATCCCAGCGTTCATTAGCAAAAATGAATGGACCTCAAGAAGCCCTGATTTGAAACTTCTCGACTTTTTTGTGTGGGCTATTGTAGAGAGTAGGATCTGCAGAACACCTCATGATTCTTTGGATAGTTTGAAGCCTAAATTGATACGAGAATGGGATTTGATCCCTCAAGAAATGTTGCGTGTCTCCTGTGAAGCTTTCTCGCGTAGATTGGAGGCCGTCATTAAAAAGAAGGGTGGTCATATTGAATAAATATGTCTGAGAATTGTTTAGGTAATTCTTGGCTACTAGCTCATCCAATAAAAAAACAATCCACCTGTTTGTTTCATTGAGAAATAACAAAAAAACATGCGTTGCCATAAATATGGCGGACCCTGTATAGGTGCTCAGGAAAAACTGTACTTATTTACTGTGTCTAGAGGAAGAGACTATTCAATGACTTGGCTGAGT